CCAGTCTGGACAGCGCTGTTGAGCACTTCCTGGATAACTGCGTTGCGGCTGCCACCCGCACAGCGTATCGATCAGGACAGCGCCGCTATGCAGCTTTCTGCCAACGATACGCCGTGAGCCAGCCATACCCACTACAGGAGGACACCTTATGCAGATATGTGGCACACCTAGCAGGGGAGGGGCTCAAACACCGCACAATCAAGGCTTACTTGTCAGCTATTCGCTGCCTGCAGATACAGAATGAGATGGGCAACCCTTTATAAGTGGATCTATGCCACGTCTGGAATATGTGCTTGGGGGGATCAAGCGCGTGGAGGCCTCCTCAGGCCGCCAGACACGCACAAGACTGCCTATTACTCCAGACATACTGATGAAGCTGCGGGACATATGGAGTCCAGCCTGACACCCTAATGCTGTGGGCGGCTGCCTGCATAGGCTTCTTTGGCTTTCTGCGGGCAGGAGAATTCACGGTACCATCCCCTGAGGCATATGACCCAGAGGTGCATCTCAACCTCGGAGATCTCACGCTAGACAGTCACACACACCCAACTCTGGTCCGCCTCAAAATCAAACAGAGCAAGACAGATCCATTCAGACAGGGGGTAGAGGTGTTTCTGGGGCGTACAGACACGCCATTGTGCCCAGTACAGGCCTTGATCCCAATATCTGGGGTTACGCTCCCCAACACCAGGCCCCTTGTTCGTTCTCTCTACAGGATCTCCCCTATCAAGGAGTCATCTAGTGGCAAAACCTACACACAGCACTCAGGCAAGCAGGCTTGGATGAGTCAAGGTACAATGGCCACAGCTTTCGAAATGGGGCAGCAACGACTGCCGCTCAACAGGGCCTTGAAGACTCCCTCATCCAGACACTGGGCAAGGTGGCGCAGCGAGGCATACAAAATCTACATTAAACTTCCTCGTGCTCAACTGGCCAGTGTGTCCAGAGCTCTGGCTCGAGGCCAATGCACTGCAATTCTAGGCACTTATGTATATGCATATCATGTGACATGGCCCTGCTATTGAAAGTTTAATATTATGTTGACGGGTTTCCAAAGGGGGTGGGTAGAGGTAGAGAGCATGGGGCAAAGCTGTAATCAGCTTTTATGACAGAGGGTCAGCCATGCTGGCTGGATGCCCCATGCTCCACCCACAGAAAGGGGGTGTGGTGCAAGGAATCATGCCACTAGGCCAATTAGCAGTGGGGCAAGCTTTGCATGATACATAGGTAATATGCTTATTAACAGGGGCAAGCTTCCAGCAGAGAAATAAGCGATTAGGGCCCCTGTAATTTAGGCAATTGCCCCGCAACATTGACCCTTGCAACGATACCTACATTCCAACCCCATTAGTGAATGAGGGTTGGGACGCTCAGTTGCACGAATAGGTCATTATATTAAACTACACCTATAGAGCGCTAGATGTTGTGAAAAGGACTTCCTGTCCAATACTTATATTGGTCAGCCCACAGCTCAGAATACAGCGTATATTCCAAGCGCCGGATTGTTTGAAGACTACAAGAGTCCATTAAAACAAAAATTACAACTATGTAGTGTTTTACACTTATATAGTATGATACGAGTTCATGAAACAATGAAAAGCACTTAAGCGCAAACCCTCGGCGAACTGCTCACACACGATACCGTTAATTGATGGGTTGGGCCAAGAGTATGCGTTTACTCGTGGTCCCCACGCTAGTAGCTCATGGAGAGTCTGACACGGGCTAGCTACAGTAGTAGATAGCATGCCGGAGTCGACACATGCCCTTAGTTGTGACTTCTTGAGCATCAAAGGTACGAGCGTATCAGGTCACGGTAAGCTGTGATATATTTTCACGGCATAATTATCTCTCGAACGCAGCCATTTCTGGTGCGGTCAGTGGTGCGGAGTATAATATATTATTATACCCGAGTACGTGGCACTTTGATTTCTATGGCTTCTATAGCTTCTGGGCACAATTGGTAGGCGCGCAATGCCTCGCACACTTGCACGTGCTGGACTTTATGCGATTTTATAGCACAATACTACAACAGTGACAATCGTGAAATCTTTCTCTTTTCCTGGGATAACAAAGGCTAGAGAATCAAATGTCTGGTGACACTGCTGAGTTAAGTATGCTGGGATGATAAATAGAGTTGGACAGGCAACTGCCATACACCACACATCCAAAACATAGTCTACGGTACACATGCATTCACTCTCACTAGAAAGAAGTATGCTGGGATTTATCAATAATACGTTCTTCACTCTGGTAAAGGTGAGGAAAAGACATGCACCTATTCAGAATTTTCCAGCACCACTACGCAACAGTGACGAAGGAAGTGTAATTCGGTATGCCCGGGACTTTTATAAGAGAAACCACAGAACTATAGTAAAAGATGGGTAAAGAAAATTCTTTTGAGGTTTTCAGCACTACTAAAAGTGGTGTAGTATAAGAAAAATCAATTTTAAGAGCAACCAGATTTTTGGGACCAAAAGACCCACAAGTGGTGAGCATGCCGTAAGTTTCCGCTTTATTCACTACTACTGTGCAGGGCTGTGAACTTGTGGATAATCTTAAATTCCACTAAGCTTCACTACTACTCTGTAGGGCAGTTTCACTACAATAGCTTTGAAATCTGAGAAATGAAGGAAGCGGAAACTCTCGGAATTCATAGATATTGTAGTGAACAGCCCTAGAGAGTAGCAGTGAAAGAAGGGGCCAAGAGTATGCGTTTACTCGTGGTCCCCACGCTAGTAGCTCATGGAGAGTCTGACACGGGCTAGCTACAGTAGTAGATAGCATGCCGGAGTCGACACATGCCCTTAGTTGTGACTTCTTGAGCATCAAAGGTACGAGCGTATCAGGTCACGGTAAGCTGTGATATATTTTCACGGCATAATTATCTCTCGAACGCAGCCATTTCTGGTGCGGTCAGTGGTGCGGAGTATAATATATAATTATACCCGAGTACGTGGCACTTTGATTTCTATGGCTTCTATAGCTTCTGGGCACAATTGGTAGGCGCGCAATGCCTGGCACACTTGCACTTGCTGGACTTTATGTGATTTTATAGCACAATACTACAACAGTGACAATCGTGAAATCTTTCTCTTTTCCTGGGATAACAAAGGCTAGAGAATCAAATGTCTGGTGACACTGCTGAGTTAAGTATGCTGGGATGATAAATAGAGTTGGACAGGCAACTGCCATACACCACACATCCAAAACATAGTCTACGGTACACATGCATTCACTCTCACTAGAAAGAAGTATGCTGGGATTTATCAATAATACGTTCTTCACTCTGGTAAAGGTGAGGAAAAGACATGCACCTATTCAGAATTTTACAGCACCACTACGCAACAGTGACGAAGGAAGTGTAATTCGGTATGCCCGGGACTTTTATAAGAGAAACCACAGAGCTATAGTAAAAGGTGGGTAAAGAAAATTCTTTTGAGGTTTTCAGCACTACTAAAAGTGGTGTAGTATAAGAAAAATCAATTTTAAGAGCAACCAGATTTTTGGGACCAAAAGACCCACAAGTGGTGAGCATGCCGTAAGTTTCCGCTTTATTCACTACTACTGTGCAGGGCTGTGAACTTGTGGATAATCTTAAATTCCACTAAGCTTCACTACTACTCTGTAGGGCAGTTTCACTACAATAGCTTTGAAATGCGAGAAATGAAGGAAGCGGAAACTCTTGGAATTCATAGATATTGTAGTGAACAGCCCTAGAGAGTAGCAGTGAAAGAAGCGGAAACTTACGGCATGCTCAGCACCACTATAGTTATGGGATTTAAGATATCCACAACAGTCATACACAGTAAAAGAAGCAGAAACTTAAAGTATGCTCAGCACTCACAACTGTGGTGGAACATGGGACTTGTAAGATTTATCACAAAGTATGGCAGCACTTAGTATAATTATAGGAATGATATTGGTTATCTGGCATCATGCCCGTCCATACATTTGGAATTTTCACATTTTACTTTCAGACCCAACTAATATAACTCTATGGTCAAAATAAGCATGTATACCTCTGAATAGCTTTAATCTGTACAATTGGTTATCAAACAAGTCTGTTTTCTTCTTCTCGTTGTCGTTGTTGTTCTTCAGTATAGACAAGCGTATCTCGAAAACAAGGTAAGATACAGAGATGAAACTTTGTACAATGACGGAAAGGTCGTGCAAGAGCATGTTAATTTGTTTGAAAGCAATGTTGTTTACATGTTGTTTTTCATGTAAACAACACCCAGGCCAGTAAAGTGGACTATAGTCAATGCCAATACATACAATGATCATATGTGCAACCTCTCATTAGTATCTATTTACAAGTTTGTAAACAACAACAAACAGCCTCATGAAAATTTGTGAACATTTTTATGCCGAGTCTTCTAACAGTAAAACTTTGTAAAACAATAATTACAAGTTTCGCTAACTATGTAGTATTTAACACTTGGTATGATACGAGTTCATGAAACAACTTTTAAAGGGCAAACCCTCGGAGAACTGCGCACGTGCGATACCACTAATTGATGGGTTGGACGAAGAGTGTGCGTTTACTCGTAGTCTCCATGCTAGTTGCTCGCGGAGAGTCTGACATGGGCTAGCTACACAAGTAGATAGCATGCGGGAGTCGACACAGGCCCTTGGTGTAGTAAGTGGTGTAGTAAAAGAAAAATCGATTTTAAGAGCCACGGACTATTGTAATGGCGTAGTTAAGTATTTATACATACTTGTGGCACGTGGTAGCTAACCTCCAAACAAGACTGGTGTTAACTTTGCACAGGAGTTACACATGGATCTCCTCTTCATCTTTATTTGTTGCAAAGACCGAAACTTATCTTTCCTTGTCACTGTTGTAGTATTGTGCTATAGAGTCTAGCACGTGCAAGTCATCAACCCGCGCACGCCGGGGTGGTGGTGGGTGGTGTGACGGGCGCTAGATGCGCGCGCGGAGAGGGTATATAAACCCGCCGATCCATGCTTAGAGGTTACGTTTGGGAATACGCCTAACCTCGGACGAAGGTAAATTAGGTGTATGCCGCGTGCTGTACGAGCCCACGATACGAATACCTTGTGTTGTCTAGAGATGTGTATAGTTAGATGGTGTGTCCCTAACTTTCTGTTACTGCATTATATTAATTTTAACTTAAATGATGCAGGATTTGTTTTACCTTTCATGTGATGCTACTCGTCGTACTAAGGTCAGTAGCTATCGTATTGATGGAAAGGGTTGTTGCTTACAAGTATATACATTTATGTATAATGGCTGATCGAGTAATCATTGTTCAGATGCCATCATTATATATATATACTTAGGTAGCTATACCAGCTGCTTTTATTTCCTAAATTCTGTGCGGCGAATGTTTCTCTCGTCATTAATCCGCAGTAACTAAGTATTGTTTGTGATCCGCAGTACTCGACGTCTTTCGCGGACGGTCCGCTAAATTCGAACTGTGCGTCTTGAGGAGCAATTAGGCGACTCTCCGCAAGCAATAACTGCTTAGAAAGACTTCACTGCTGCTTGTAGCCCGCCCGCAACGCATGCGATAATCTACGTAAACGTCAACTAAGTGTCCGTCAGATGCATCTCGGCGCCGGTATACACAGCCTGCAAAAAATCAAAAATTGTGCCAACCCTCGGCGAACTGCGCATGCGCGATACTGCTAAATTGATGTGCTGGGCTACACAGAGCGAGCGGATCAGATCGCTGTAAGCCCAATGTGATTATGCATATTGGCTTTTTCGCTTGTTTTCACGGCATATCTCTCGAACGCAGTCGTTTCAGGAAAATCGCCCTTCTTTTCTTTTTCAGGCTCGCGTAGTTCTGAAGCAGTTGGTATCGCTAATAGGCCACCTCGTAGCCTGTAGTGCCAGAATAAGCGTCGACACACACACACACACACACACACACACACACACACAGGCACACACAGACAGACAGACCAACCAACTACTGTAACCCTCGCTGAACGTGCGCGCCGAGGGTTAATAACGAAATGCGCAGAGAAGCCGGCGGCAGCATCCGGGCATGGACAACAACCTGACGACTTTAGAACTGAAAACCGAGTGAACTGTAACGTTGAATACTACTCACAGTGACTGTGTAGTGCACAGCTACCGCCAAATGAACTCGTGATTTTCACTCGTGTTCACTAGCCTGAAGAGTGCGATGCGGGCAATGAGAGACTACACGCTTAGTGCAGTCTGCCAGCAGGCGTGTAGTGTCAGGGAGCTGTTCCACTCACGTCCTTCATGTGATGCTACCTAGAGTCAAAAAACCTGGATAACCATTTGGAAATTCATTTCATACAACACAGAAGTGAGAATCTCGGCCTGACCGCGCCCACCGGCTTCTCTACACATAACGCGATTCGCTCGCAGTAGCGCACGTGATGTCATAGCTAATACTACAGTAGAGAAAGTTGGCTGGATCTTCTACCGCCCTAATCAGCTAATCGTAACTTTTTGTGACTTCGACCGAGACTTCAACGGAGGACTAACTATGTATTGCATGCTGATGGCTGGTTAATACACGCGCGAAAACGTTCCAGTATGCATTCAGATAGCATGCGCAAGCGTATAATTGCCGAGCGCGTTAGCGTGAGGCAACTACTCGCGATATGCGTACGTACGTACGTATGTGTCGGTCACGCTTAACAATGTCAATTAGTCACGCTTAGGAATGTCAATTAGTCACCAAAAGGAAGTGTAACTTCCGTCATTCGTAGGAAGTCTATCTTCCGCCGTGCGCGCAGATTCATAGCAAGTCTGGCTTCGCGCGCAGTCAGTAGAGCTCGCGCACGAGCGGCCTCAGTCGGACTGTTTACGCATTGGCTGGCAGGCGCGAGGAAAAAAATGCGCGTGCGCATTCCTAGTAGAAAATTACGGTATGTGCAGTGCCCAGTGCCCAGTGCCCGTCAGAAAAACCACTAGTCTGGCGTATAGCCTGCCTCCAATTTTACGGTAGTTATGTGCGGCAGTGCCCGTGCATATCTCTCTCATTTCAGACAAGAGAAAACGAGAGAAAAAAACAAGTAATAGCTAAGAGAGCTGGAGCTCTAAATTCCTTGTGTAGCCGGGACAGCTATTGTTTAAACACGAGAGATTGCCAGCCTTTTGCTCAGTCCCCTTGGCGTCCATACCTAGTCATGGCAGGTGATCACTGAGCACTCCTGCTCTCTCACCATCTCTTTTGTTGAACTTCTTTTTCCGTATTTCCAATTTCCATTTTCCTGTTCCTGGTTTTAGTCGAACCCGTAAACACGAGACCTCTTTCGGGCAGGGCACGTGACTGTTTGGGCACAAGACTACACAATATTGTATTATGCTTTTCGGTGTCTATGTAACCAGGGTTTGTTCATCGTTGGGACAAAGTTACACAAGGGATGCCTAAATATAAGGACGTACTCCTCCGTTCGAGGGATTTGAGGGCCTCCGCGTTTTCTGCGCAGCGAGGGCACTACACGGAGGTCTACGGAGTAACTATACGAGCGATTGTGTCCAGGCAACTGAAATGCGAATGAACGTGAAGACGTGGGGACAGAGAGACTCGAGCGAGCTTTCAGCCACCAGCGGTGAGCCAGGAACATTGGGAGAAGCTATGTCTTTCCGCCCTTGCATCTTCCCACTTATTCCAATTCGAAACGGGCTTGCTGCACAGTGAGGGACACAGTACTTTCTTTGTCCCCAGGAGGATTCCACGTAACCCAAATGCCGCCAATACACTCAAAAAGACCTGCTTTAGCTCATCATCAACCTTCATACTTCTATAGACTTTTCAAACAGAGTTTGCATATGTACATAGATTTCTGGCAGCATTTGCATCAAAACAGAGCTCACAAAAGTTCCCAAGAACCACAGCACCAACCACTGATGGTAGAGCAAAGCTTCTAGGCATTACCGAGGCCACTGTAACTTGACTCTCCCCACACAATGCATTGCCTATATATAATGAAAAGCACTAAAGTGCAAACCCTCGGCGAACTGCGCATGTGTGGTACCACTAATTGATGGGCTGGTTTTTTTATGCCTTTACTCGTGGTATCCCGCTAGTAGCTCGCGGATGGAGTCTGGCACGGGCTAGCTACAGCATGCGTGAGTCGATACATGCCCTTCGTTGTGACTTGTTGTGCCTTCAAGACACACAGAGCGAACGGACGCGGTCGAGGTAAGCCTGTGCTAATTTACATATTGGCTTGTTCACTTGGTTTTCACGCCATAAAACACAGTAGTTTTACGAAAATCGCCTTTTTAATATCAACCCAGTGTAGCACTGAACCCGATCATATCGTTATTTACCTGATTTCGTGCGCGCGGTGGCAGAAAACGTGGTAACAGACAGACAGACAGACTGACACACTTACGGGACAACTACCGTAACCCTCGCTGCGCATGCGCGCCGAGGGTTAATAATCCCAGCCCAGATAGGAAGTGCTCTAGAGCATGCTAAACCTCCAGCTCAAGCCTCATGCAGCTTTCCATATCGTGTTCTCTAATCACACATTATGGTTTTGTCACATGACACTTTTGTGACAAATGGGATCCGGCAAAGTGCCATTCTCTCAGTGCCAAGATAATCGAGCTCCACGTGTGGTCGGGGATAAGACTAGCCTCTGTGCACCTATTCTGGAACTACTAGATCTAGGCAGCCTATAAGCAATACCAACTGCTTCAGACAGAGCAGCTACTTACAACAGTATGCTTCACTGTCTCCTGAATAAAACTATACCTCCACAGTGCAGTGTGTGAAAAATGGCCAACAGTTTGGGTACTCAGGTGTGGACTGGGTGAAGCAAAATCGACTGAAATAAACAACTGAGTTCAAGTAAAAGATTTGGGCCAACCAAAGGTTATATCGAATTCAAACAAAGCCTGATATAAAGCTCAATCAAACCGCAAGTGGGCGTGTTACATTGACCACGCCCACTTCCGCATCCATGGGATAGTACAATCTTAGTAGCGTCGCTCTCCGAGACAATATCGAGAAAGGCGGTCACGAAGACGCTGGTTATAGGCAACGAAGTCCACACCTAACAAAACCTAGAGGACTTATCTAGTAGGTATCAATTTTGGATAGAGATCCGAGCCACCAAAAGCGAGAAACAGGCGAAAACGCAAAAAACAGTACCTTGGTCGGAACAACTCCCGAGTGTTTATCTGCCAATCCGTTTTTCAATCTCAATCCAAAATTGATACATTACAAACCGATGGTATACCTATCTTTTGCCCCAAGAAATATCGCCTTAGCACACGTCTAACTACACCGCCTCCACAAAGGTGGACTTTACCGGCCATCGTCATCTTTCTAAACAGCGTCACGTGATTCATCGGAAATTCACTCGCGTGTGTGCGTGTGAGGATAAGCTCCGAGATACCCCAGGTACCAGCAGCCCCTCTAGCCTTAGCTCTAGTCTCGGTACCAGCCCCTCTCAGACGGGAGGGAGGGTCCGGTACGACACTAACCAAGCTCTGCTTGGTGCCGGCGGGTCGTCGCTCGTTCTCTCGCCAGGGCCTCTACTCGCGGGGACTCGCACCGTACGAGCGCAGCTGGGAGGACTCAGCGTGGCGCGCCCACGCATTGACATGAATACCATGGCAACTATGTAATTTCAAACCGCGGTATGCGTACTCGCGCGACAAGCGGATCGCGGAAGGCCCAGTCCTTAACTTACCTGAGTAATTTGCCATAATATTATTTGCGAGTTCATCCCGTTGGTTCCTTATGGGTTTCTGGGGTTTCCAGAAATAACCCGAAATTCTGTCTAATGTGTTGATAACCTTTCAGCATGCGTGCTTGACAGAGTAATTACCCTCGGCGCGCATGCGCAGCGAGGGTATGTAGTTGAGTCTGTCTGTCCGTGTATCTGTCTGTTACTCTCAATCTCACTTCTCGTCTCACAAATGATATGACCTACTTAACGGCCAATGAAGGTCAGAAATTTCGAACAGTTTTCTCTGAAACTGCTCGGTTGCGAAGCTAGAGCTCGAAAAAGCCAATATGCAAATTCACAACGGACGGGATGGCTTACCACAGTCGGATCGATCCGCGTCCTCTGCGTACTTCGGGGGCACCAGAAGATGCAACGCAGGGCGTGAATCGCCTCTCGCATGCTATCTAGCAGTGTAGTTAGCCCGCTTCAGATTCGGCGCGAGCTGGGAAGAGACCGAGTGACGGCTAAAACTAAACCCAGCCCACCAATTTAGTTACGCGTGCGCGTCACGGTGCGCCGAGGGTTTGCACTTCAGTGCTTTTCATTTGGGGTTTGTCATTGCTTTGTGTTCTGTTGTTGTGAAGGATCGCCACGCACATTACTGCAACAATCGACATGGAGAGCTTTCTCAAGATCTCATCATAGTTCACACACCAGTCATTCGATCATCACTAGCTACAGCCTAGCTCTTTTAAACAGAAACATAACAGGATGAACGTGGGAAGTGACAGGCTACACTTTACCCAGAAAGAGGAAGGGAGGGTAAGAGTGATACAAAACAGGGAAATGATGTAAAACCTACAAACATGAAATCAGAAAGACTGTGGAGACATCCAGTCTCTCACAGTTGTATAGTAGACTTTGAGCCCTGCATGCCAGCTGAGCTGCCCTGTTAGGTATATAATGTTGTAGAGCACTCCACCTAACCTGCGCAGTGACCTCATGGGTTTCTTTCTCTATTAGGGCAGCTTTGTTTTCCTCCGAAAAATTGTGGTTGTGGGGTTATTTGCTTTGCACTTGCTTTTGCTTTGCTTTCCCTCGCCTCATGTCACCTGGATCCAGCTTTGCGACAATACACCATCGTGTGATAATAGCAGTTTGAGTAACAAACCATTGCTGAGTATCATCTTAGGCCTTTGCTCTTCATCCACACCCTACATTTGATTCTGTCACACACATTTTACTACCCCTGAGAGGATGCCACACCAAAGCTAAGTACTCCAGGGGGTTGCCTAGTTGTAAGTGGGTGTAGCCTTCAGGCGTGGCTGGCTGCTATTGCTGAAAGAGACGTGGATGAGCTAAATAAACGCAACACGGGGTAATTTCTGTCACATACGCTGTGACATCCATCTGGTGTTGATTCAGATAGAATATGTACCATCTCCATCGAATCTACTTCTTCCCCTATCCTTGTGATTGGTGTCTACCTGCCAACAACTAACTCAACTGATGAATACCGCCACTGTCTCCACACAATTGAGAACCCTATCAACAGACATCGAGATATGCCAGTTACTGTTGCTGGGGACTTTAATGCTCACATTGGAGCTAGAGGTGGTCGCAGAGGCTCAGGTGACACTAACAATCAGGGGTCACTCATACTAGAAATAACAACGACCTCTATGTCTCGTCTCTCAGCTGCATCTCCACTGGGCCTTTGTATACCTTCTTCAGAGAGAATACTATGACCACCACTGACTACATAATTGTAGATGCTCTTCACTCCAGCATGGTGTCTGAATGCAGCACTCTGGAGCTTCATCCCTTGAATTCGTCTGATCACTGTCTGTCCGATTCATCTCAGTGTCCCCACCATATGCAGCTGCTCCACCCCCTCTCCCGCCAGGCTGAACTGGAAAGCTGCATGTGATGACGGCTCCATCGCTGCTTATGCTGCCACTGTGGACGAAGTTATCAGGCCTCTATTGGGGAAAACCTACAACTCACCATCTGAGGTCGGTGAGGAACTAAGCTTCGTCTCCAGTCACTTATCGGTGGCAGCTTCTTCCCTGACACCACATGTGAAAACAAAGACTAGGAATAAAAAACAGTTCTCTGGTAACTCACAGTTGAGGGAGCTTAGCTCCAAGTGTGAAGCAGCCTGGAGAAAGTGGCGTGATGCAGGCCGACCAAGAGTAGGCCCTGAGTATGAGGAAAAGGAAAAAAAACTCAAGAGATTGACTCGCCAGTGTGCAGATAAATGCCGGGCCACTCTGGAGCGACAGTCCTGGGAGAAACATGAGAAGCAATTTAGGTCAAGATGATTTAGAACACCGTCAAAGAAAGTCTCCCTTGGTGAGCATCTAGAGAAGTTTCCGACCCTCCCTCTGTCAACAACCGCTGAGCTCAGCATTTCACCGATGTGTTTCAGTATATATCAAACTCCAATGTTTGTGATGCTCTAAATCAGTTAGACAAGCTACACTGCCTGTCCGGAATGAACTGCGACGACATCATTGACAATGATATCACCACTGAGGAAATTCAAGTGGCTCTCAGGAAACTGAAACCAAGGAAAGCCAGTGGTGTCAATGGTCTACAGTCTGAGCACCCCAAGCATGTTGGTCATCTCCTCATTCTCTGGCTGAGGCAAGTATATTCAATGCATTTATTGCCTTTGAATGTGTGCCACCCTGTATTCTTACTGGAACCGTTCAACCGATCTACAAAGGTAAAACGAAAGACCCCCTGAGCTGTGACAGTTACAGGGGCATTTCCATTACTCCTGCCATCATGAAGCTCTTCGAGTACATTTTACTTGTGGGAAATCTTGGAGACTCATCAGGTCCTATAGTACAGCAATCTCTTTGCAGTAGTCAGGACTGGGTCAACTACTTCAACATCTATTCTCATACTCCGCAGGGTGAAGCAAGGTTCTGTTCTGTCTCCTACTTTCTTTTTATCACAGCATGAAGTCAATTGTCTTCACTTGCTCTCGTCAGTAGATAATTGGCGAGCGGGAGCGAGCTAACCTAGTGGTTCCAACGGCGCGTTTTCTACAATTATAATTATATAACTAGAAGAATGTTGAACGGAGCGACCCAACTTGGGATTTGCCCGCGATGTTCGGGCTGCATAACGCGCCGTCAGCGTACATCTTTCCTTTCGTAAAGCAAGACAGAGCTATCTGTCGCCGTTACATGCGTACTGTATTGCCAGAGCGGTGAGCAGAACGGTACTTACCTTACGCTTTCAGCTCGTCTGTCGTGGTCCACCAGGCAGTTGGCATGGCAGTAGGCTAAGGCAGCGATCGATCGATCGATCGATCGGGCTGGCCGACCACGCGGCGAGTGTAAGACGATTCCAAAATTTCATTCCGTTTCGCGTATTTGGAATCACGTAAAACTTGTGGTGCCCTCCGTCACATAATTAGAAAAATCCGCTCGAACGTATGGAACGAACGTTGGCTCGCTCCATGTGAAGGGCACCACGGCACTGCACATACCGAAAGGTTTTACGTGATTCTAAATACGCGAAACGGAATGAAATTTCGCAATCGTCTGTGAATTACCGTCGAGTCCAGCGAGGAGAGTGGGGCTCACCTAGCGCTACTACGCAGGAATCAACAGCAGAGAATTGCCACAGAGTCTGCCGAGGAGAGAGAGGGTCGACTACAGTTACTACGCAGGAATCATGTGCTACTTACGCATGCGTCAGGATAACGCGCTTCTAGGACGGCTCGTGCAGATACAGCTATTGTGTGCTCGCTCCCGCTCGCCAAAAATGCCAGGCATTCGCATACTAGTACTTTATTCTGGGTATTGTATAATTATATTCCCTTCATTCCCTATCACGGGGGGGCAAATGATCTTTTTTTTAATGAATTCATGGGCTGGGCTATTAGCTAGTATGCGTTTACTCGCGGTCTCCCGTAGTAGCTAACTCGCGGCGGGAGTCGATACAGCGCCCTTCGGGATGCAGTAGTTTCAGAAAAACCCCACATATATTTCGACCTTTTTCCGACTCTGCATACGTGGTATCGTTTTGGAGCGATTGATGGCTCGGGAAGTGAGATGTGAGGTAACGGACTGACTGACCTGACACACACGACAACTACCGTAACCCTCGCTGCGCATGCGTGCCGAGGGTTAATAACATCGTATTGTCCTAAGTGCAGTATACCATGTGTTGTTTAGTTACACTATGCCCACCAGACGGTTTAGTGGATATACACTAGGGTACGCAGCACGAGTAGTGTGTTCACTAAACCGTCGAGTGGGCATAGTGACAGAACGCACGTGGGTAAAACCGCTTTTTTGCGCGCTTGCACTTTAGCGCGCATGCAAAGAGACCGCTCTAGCTGGAGCTGCCTTTCTTCCGGAGTAACGGACGGCAGTTGAACCAGTTAAGCACGCTCTTTCAGCTGGCCTTCGTCGGGTATTATCTTACTCCATCGCTGTCATTATTACTCGCTGGTCGCGAACTGCGCTGACTGTACTGTAAAATTGCCGAGAATGCTGAAGGCGAGCCTACAAGCAACGGAGCCATCAATGTGCCTGTTGTCTGGTGACAGATCTTGTGGCGACATTATTATGGACAATGGCCAACAAGAATTTGTATCGGCATAACCTGCACTTCCGTGTATAGTAGAATTTGCTGACTCTGACGCTCAACTGATAACAATAATAATGCTGACTCAGCCATACACCCCACATTATTATGAGGTGTAATATGCCTGAGTCAGCACACCATACACCATGGCATGCAATTAATGAGCTGTGTTTGGGCGCATACACTATGTGGGGTAGGTACCTTTGATCTCTATGGCTTCTGTGGTACAAGTATATCTGCCATAAACACTTGCTGCCAGCCTAAGTCATCCCAATGACAATTTAGAAAGCCTCATGGACCAATAGTAACAGGGCAGTGAAGATGCTCAGGTATTTTGGCTTTCTAAATTCCATTGAATCACAGTGTAACCACTGATTGTATAGACTCTATACAATGTGTGGTAAAACCCCGAAGATTAAAAATATTGCCTAAAAATGTGAAACTGCACATTCAACTTACATGTGACTTGCTATTTCACTTATAGAAATCATCATGTCAAGTGATGACACTGAACGTCTTAGTGAATTTCTTTCCAAAAATGGTCTCACCCACAATAAGTGGTTGAAACATTTTAAAGATAAAAACATCACAAAAGTCGATCAAATACATGAGCTTGAATATAAGGATGATGTATTTGCAGCCCTTTCGTTGGATGCTAATCAAGGAGAAATCATTGCTCTGCAAAAAATATTTGAAATCGAAGCTCCCATTGATGCACCTGATGTTGGCCTAGACAGAGAGTTGAATGAGGTAGGTCTAGATATTCTCTACTGGTCAGAAGTCTTCAAAAGAGAACTTGGTGTTATATCACAACAAGCTCTCGAAAACGTTGGGGAGGAATCGTTCCAACTTCTGGCCCAGTTTGTAAGGCAACCATGGGAAAAGAGAGCACTGCGAAAGTTGCTAAAGTTAGAAAGTGTTGAAAGTTCTTACAAAAAGAAGAGAGAAACGCAGAGAGCAAAATTAGAAAAACGACAAGCTGAATCTGCTCGACTACTGGGGGAGCTGAAAATTCTAGAAAAAGAAGGAAGAGAGCGGAATGACTCTCTTGTCAAGGCTAAAGAAGAAAAAATTCGAGAGATGCTCCAAACACCCGGTGATGCATGGGTGCCCACAGAAACATCTCTCAGTCAAGTCCTTCAGCAGATGGAAGCTATGCATGATAATATCGGTGGAACGTTAAAAACCAGGGAAGATTTGAGTGAAGTCGATGTAATCAAAAGTTCGTCAAGTGGTCTTGCTTTACAAGGAATTTTGATCTCAGCAGACCCTACTGAAGCTGCAGAGGTAAGGAAAAACCTGCTGCGAGTGCCAGCAGATGTTTGCCTCGATGGTCCTTCTGATCATCAGCATGACAAAATACAGCAGTTTTTCAGCCAAAAGAAAGAAGCCGACTTTTCTAAACGGCTCAAAATGCTTGGTTACTCCGCATCAACATCTGCAAAGGCAGGATTTTATGGATTCAGTTTCGAAGCAAGTGCTGGGTATAGCCGGAGCCAGGAGGAAGAAGAGACAACAGAGCATCACGAAGAGGAGACATACTGTTCAGTTGTGAAATACTCCTTCATGCCAATGGCTTCTTGCAATTTCAGAGATCATCAGCTTCAGCTTTCAGAAGATGCCTTAGTCCAACTTCAGAAAATTAACAAACAGTTGGTAAAGGATTTTACACAGCCAATACAGAGTGAATGTGAGGAATTTTTCCGAGATTTTGGTTCTCATGCTTGTATCGGACCACTTCACTTTGGAGGAAGGTACTCATGGAAAAGCTACTCCTCAGGTTTCAAAGAATCCGAAAAAAGCACTGTGCGGCAGCTGCAAAGTGAAGCAATCTCAGTCCAAGTCAGCATGTCATACGGTGGCATAGCTGGAGCATCAGCCGCAACTAGCGTCTCCAGTATGGAAGGTAGTTTGAAAGGGAAGTATTCAGAAGCTCTGAAAAGCCAAACATTTGTGGAAGTCAGCAAATATGGTGGGCCTCCAGAGGCAACAGGCCTGCCGGACTGGAAGAATGGATTGGTGGCAAGTAACAGCACATGGTTCTTGATTGATCGCGGTACACGGGGAATGGCAGTTTGGGAAATAATTGAGCTGAATCATGCCAGTTCTTTCAAAAATTGCTCATTCTTTGCAGAGAAACTTAAGCAAGCTTGGCAAAAGTTGAATAAAACGGATGAATTACCAAGAATGGCTTTGACCACAGAATTTCAAAGTGTGATGGATGCTATAGCACAATGGAATGCAAATCTCGATCCGACTCAGTTTTCAACCCAACTCATTCAGTTGGTGACACACAAAGAGAAGGTAGCAAAGAAGTTCTTGAACCCCCGAGTGTGGGCGACCGAGTATTTATCACAGGAAGTCTTGCATAAATTTTTGAGGTCTGTAGTTGACTATTGCCTTAATGATGCTGGTAATGAATCTGGTTCACTCAAGCGGTACCTGCAAGAGCTCGTTGAACGTATTGACCTCGGTATTACAAGGGTTTTCCCCAATCAACAATATGTTATAGAGTGGCTTTACAATACTAAAGAATCAGTCCCTCCTATGGAGTGCAAAGATTTCCTAAGTTTGAGTGATTTTTTCAAACTTGCACTAGAGTGCATGCCTAGCAAGATGCTAAAACAACGTCAGCGGATGATAGCTACTGCTGTTTCAACTGACTGTTTGATTAAGGCAACTACAGTTATAGCTAAAGCCACCTACTGTTTGAGAAGTCACCTCCAAAGAAGTGGTCAAAGGTATGAAGATCTGTTTACTACCACAATGCTTTATCCATTCAAATACATTCCTTCAAAGTACCGTTTTTCGGTTTTACTGTCATCGAGTGATTTGAACTACCTTTGCGAGAACTTTGATCGTTATGTCAACGAATTTTTCAGTGTAAAAGCAAAAAATTCTTTGCTTAATCTGCAGTCTCACTTGTTTTTACTGACTGTAACGCTCTATGACTACTTTGATGTAAATGAAGAACACGTCATACGTCACATAAAGTACATGGAGCGTGAAATTGGTGGAGAAATAGAACAGGAACTTTCACGTATCCTAGATGAACTCAAACTAAAGGAGTCCGGATGTGACTGGGAGTTATTTAGGAATGAACTGGAGTCTCTAGCCCAAGATATTCTCTCAAAACCTGAAGATGGAAGGGTGCTAATAGAAGTCTTAGAACAGGGGAAAGAACAAGGGAAAGTTACTACTGTTTCAAACCTTAGAAGACAAGAATCGCACAGCCTTCTTCAGGGAAACAAAGAAGTAGAAAATCTTTTCTTGAAATTGCATCTCACAAAAGAATACCCTCAAAAGCTTTCACTCTCCCATGCCCTAGCAATCAGAGAAGACACTCTAGAAGTATCAAAGAAACATGAAGCTGAAGAAGGAAATGATGATGAAGATGAAATTGATGATGAAGAGATAGAGATGGACACACTACATTGCGATCCACAGATGTATGCGTTTCATATACTTCAGAAGATCATGTGTGTTGATCACCGATGTAGGATGCCATTGGTATCAGATTCGGATAGTTCAGATGAAGCTATGGTGCACCCAATGGATGGTCTTCTTGCTCTTCTACACTGCTCCGATGACTTCCTTCGCAAAGATCTCTTGAGTAGACTTGCCACGTGTCAATTAGCTATTCCTGCACTCATTCCACATCCCATGACTCGTAAACCCACGTTTCTTCTCTGGGCAATGAGGTCAATAATAAAGGAATTTCGAAATTACAATGGCAATGTTTCGTATGCAGGCCCTATAGTTCACTATCCTGCTCCTATTGTGTCATTTCTGCGTTTGGGTACACACTCTGTCTCCAAATCAAAACTTCTCAATACAGTCATGAGCACCTCCAATCATCCCACTTTCTTTCACTATGACTGTGCCGGAGGCAGAGCAAAAAGAGTGCTAGTCAAAGGACTTGTCGAAATGAGCTGGTATATCCCCTCAAAGAACGACAAACGTCTTCCTGATGCTGTCACATTTGCTAATCTGCATGGAGATGCTAGCAAATATCCTGAACAAGTACAATTCCTCAGTGCAGTTAGTTGCATGCACTTTGTCCTCCTTAATGAAGGCGGATTGAAGGAAGACATATCTTCAGTACTGAAACAGCTCTCTAACGCACCTGGAGGTATAGTCATTCTTCAAACCCAAGCCTCACCTAGTCTGGAGCCAAAACTGAAGCAGTCAATACCAGAAAAACTGAGCATTATAGAGCTCTTCACCATGAATGAAAATCGTAGGAAAGTGAACATACTGAAAATGATCAAAGGTAAATTGATGCACAACCTTAAACTTACGCTTGAGGATTGTAAAAGTGTTGCTTCTGACTGTGGTATCGAAGTAGATGAAGCTGGACCAGAATGCAGTAAAGGAAAGGAACTAGCAGATGAATTTCACCAAATAGTAGCTAATTTGAAAAAATCTGATCCCGATGAAAGCCCAAAGAAGTTATTGGTCCTTCAAAGCAAGGCTCTCTGGCACAAATATGGTGAATATGATAAAGAACAATATCGGCAAACTCTAAAAGGACAAATGTCAATGTATGAGTATTCTGGTTTGCAGCAAAAGAAAATGAACCAAATCCGCAAACGCCAGAATGTCCAATCACAAAAGCTAAGCCAATTAATGACATCATTCCTGACTTCTCTACTGACCACAGAGGGGAGGGTTACCTGGTACTACTTGCACTGGCTAAAAACATATCTGGATGACCTTTCAAGAGAGCTGTTACCACCACTTCACACCAAATACGAACAAAAGAGGAAAGAATTGAATGATATCCAAAAGCAAGAGAAGAAAAGTAAAAATGCAGAAGACGTGTGTCGATCTCAAATGAATGAGTTAAACATGCAACTACTAGATGCCTCTTTTGGACCAGAGCACATGTTTCGTGAAATCGGTCAATTGTATGAGGCAGTAATGTCCCAAAAGGATGCACCAGAAAAATTACAGAGGAGTATATCTCGACTTCCCCAAATAGCAGCTCAGCTTTTGGTTGATGGATTCCCACTGGAACTGATGGATGGAGATGCTGCACATGTACCAATAGATTGGGTTTCTACCGTCTTGGAAAAGTTATCAGAAATTCTTAAACAGAAAAATGGTGGCACCTCCAACCCACAATTGTTTGTACTGTCTGTTCTGGGGCTACAGAGCACAGGAAAATCAACCATGTTGAACACCATCTTTGGAGTTCAGTTCAGTGTGAGTGCAGGAAGATGCACTCGTGGTGCCTTTATGCAGCTGCTTCCAATTCATGAGTCCTTACAGGAGTGTGGATTTCAATACTTTCTCATCGTTGACACAGAAGGTTTACGTGCCCCAGAACTTGATGCACTGAAAATGCAAAGACACGACAATGAGCTGGCAACATTTGTCATTGGATTAGCAAACCTCACCATCATAAATATCAAGGTGAGATTGCAGGAGATATGAATGATGTACTACAAACAACTGTTCACGCGTTCCTACGAATGATGAAGTCAAGCTGAGACCTAGCTGCCACTTTGTGTATCAAAATGTGGCTGCTGTTGCGGCTGATGAAAAGCAATGCAGGGTCGCTTTAAAATAAAGGATAAACTGGACGCAATGACAAGAAAGGCAGCTGAGCAAGCAGGATTAGTTGCCAATTTATTCTGTGATGTTATTACATTTGATTATGAGAAGGACGTTTCCTTTTTTCCTGATCTGTGGACAGGAAGACCGCCAATGGGCCATGTTAGTGAATTTTACAGCATTGAAGCTCAGACCCTTAAGCATTACCTCATCAGAGGGGTCGAGCGAAATCAAAAAAGCCGTAATAATTCAGTTTTGCAGCTAAAAACACATTTGGGAGAGTTGTGGAAAGCCATTCTCCAAGAAAACTTTGTGTTTAGCTTCAAAAACACATTTGAGGTTGCTGCTTACACAAAACTGGAACAGGAATACAGTGAATGGTCACGCAGCTTTATAAGGCGGATGGATGTATGGGAACAGGCCGCCCAAAATATACTAATGAGCTGTTTGATGGGTGATCTTCCAACTGAGTACCAAATAAAAAAAGCTGAACTCCCCGAGTTTGTCAATGATGAGTACAAAAAATTGAAAGGGATGATGGATAAATACTTTGATGAAAGCTCAGAGCAAGAAACAATTGCAAAGTGGAAGGACGAGACCGAAAGTGACCTCAAATACTTGAAGAAAAAACTGGAGAGGCATGCAGCTGAGACCTGTGACCAGTTGTTCAACTTTAGAAATAACCGCGCAAGAGCAGATTCGAAAATAGAAAACATGTGTTCAGATATAATGGAGCATGTGCAGCGTGTAGCATCCGGATTGGAAAAGGGACGACTTAATGAGGAACAACTCAAAAAGAGATTTGAGCAGAGTTGAGTCGGATGGATAACGGAGTTGACACCCAATATCGACGAAATAGAACCTCCAAATATAAAAAATGAAGTAGAGACTTGTGTTAGGGAATATCAGACCCTAAAAGCCCATCACAGGCTTCTGTTGAATAAGCTTACTCAACCTGATAGTAAAACTGGAAAGCCACGGCAATGGGGGGTTCATCTCACACTGAAAATAAGGCCAGTTCATATCCAGTCCTTGAAAAACTGGTGGGATCTGAGGAAATATGTAGGTGGAGTAGATCGCTACATTCGTCCCGCTCAAGAAAAGACGGACAGTGTCTTCACAGAAGTTGGCAAGTGGCTCACAAGAAAGCGAGATTCAGGTGAGGACTTTAAACCAAATTACACATCCGAACTCCTTGACCTTCTATTCGACAAAATTGCAGAAGACCCATCTGATAGCTTTGATTACACACCAGAATATAGTGTAGAAATGGCTCTTACCATCTGCGGCTATGGACAGAAGGTATTTGAAGAAATGCATGATACGTTCTATAAAAAGCACGATCCACTTGTTTACATTGAAACAGAATTAAAGGAAGAATGTTGGAAGCAGTTTAAAGATAGCTACAATGACATTGAAAGGGAGAAGACCGCTGCTGAAACACTCTGCTCACATCTTAAAAGAGCAGTTCAAACGGAAGTTTTTCTGCAATTGGAAAGTGTTGTTTGTGAAAAAATGCGAAATACATTTACCTGGCTCAGAACTAAGAAAAGGTTAAGGGCAAAGGTTCTCCATGATATTGGAGAAAAGCTTGAGCAAGATCGCATTCTGGGAGAACCATGCGAATTTGATCCATGTGCTCTTTACCTCAAAAATCCGTCACAAAGTCTTGAGTGCTGGCTTGCTAGATATACAGTTGAATTCTGCAATGAAGGCAATCCTACAGTTGTGTCTAAAATTGCCGCAGAGAAATTGTTGCTTATATTTAATGAAGTAAGGACGGGTGCAGGTAAAGTCACGAAGTTGCTTGCGAGCACACCTCACCCAGTTAAAATCATTGATTGGTTAGATCAATTCCACAATGAGTTGAGGGGAAAGCTAACAATGGATCTAACAAAACTACGTACAATGCTTGGAATTAATCCGATACTGAAAAACGTCACATTTTTCGGAGATGAAGTAGTCAAAGGGCTTCAGAAACTGCATGAGCAGTTAAAAGATGAATTCAGCGATCTATCTGCGGATGTATGGATTCGTCACAAGTTGGCAAAAAAACCAAATGACACCCTATTTGAGGAGTTAGTTGGATGTACCGAGTTGTGTCCATTCTGCAAACAGCAATGTGACCACACAAATGCCAAACACCCAGACTCGGTTCTGCATACCGTCAAACACCGCCCAGGATGCCTTGGAGGATATTGTGATGGACGTGACCAAACAATGTGGCTGGATGTTTGCACTTTCTCAGTTGCCGCAAATCACCGGTTTAGAAACAAAGATACCAACAATGAATGGTACCACTATAGTGAGTACAAAAAATTTTACCCAAAATGGGATATTCCTGGGGAAAAATCTCTTCCGGCATCAGAGTTTTGGATATGGTTGGTTGGCAAATTCTCAAAGGAGATTGAAGCCTGCTTTGGCCACAGTGATACTAAAATTTACAAAGACTGGCAAGCGAGGACGTGGCCCCCTGTTAAACAAGCATTAAAGAAAGAATACGAAGAAAGTTGAGAGAACGATGATAACTTTACAATATTATAAACAGTAGACTTGAATAATGATAACTTGTAAACAGTAGAATGTATAATATATAGCAACTGGGTAAATATCACACTATAGTGTTACTAAGCTAAATTTGTGTTTTCCCTCCTTTATGGCGACTGAAGGCATATGTATAGCGCTTGAATAGCATAAAGATGGTAGGGCATGTATATATGGCTGGAGCATTGTCAGTCTGTAGATAGTAATGTTCATAGAAAGTAGTACACTTCAATTGAGAATTATGGCATGAAAAATAGAACAATGGCTGAAGTTGACCAGTATTGGCAGGTTCAGCAAAGTGTAAGAAGTTACTCGGAGGGTTAGTACTGATTCCACATTGCACCAAATGCTACTCAATATGCAGTTACTGGCCGCTTGTGGCGTGTATGAATCGTCATTCAAGCCGTGTCAAAATTCAAATTCGCTTCTCCCTTATGTATCTAGCAGTGATTAGGGTTTGGAAGTATGTAGTGGCATGGCAACGTCGGTGCTTGTAATGTTGCAGTATCGAGTTTGTACTTGGTCATTAGTTATTATAGACTCTCCCTTGTTGTGAATTGGTTATGATGCCAGTGGCATAAGTAGGATTGAAACTAGTTGGAATCAAATTAACATGGACTCAATCAGTGGAAAGTCATCTGAATAGGAAGGGCATGTTTACATGGCACTTTGAGCTAAATCTGTAAACGCACAAGGGTCAGTAATCAAAATTACATAACATTGATCGTAATCCACCGTGCAACACAGGTTATAACTAGTAGCTATCACGTAGCCTGCCTATTTCACACATGCGGAAGAAATAGTTAGGTGACAATAGCACCAACGACCCATACCTATCTTTTCTATGTGATGAGTGGGTGGGGCCTGGGGAACATTAAACACTCTCAGACCTTTGCTGCACTACTAACCCTTGCCTTTCAAGATGGCTGGCACCAGAACAGTCGACAAGAAACTATCTCAAGCTTGTGCCTTATTAACAGTACTTACAAAGAGGCTGTACTCAACAGACTATACCACTATTTACATCGCTCATCATCCTGCAATCTAATAATTGATCTCCAACTGTATTTGCTGAGGGTGTAGGTTGTTGATGCTAACGTCACCTGGCCACATGGGTTTTTAGGCAGGCAATGCTAGACAAGGCTTGAAATAATGCAACTTCACTTTTTAGATAAAGAGGCAGCAGTGAATGCTCACCAAAAACCACTGTATCTTTAAGGCCATTTCAAGGCTTACCTGTTGATCTCACTGAAAAATGGCACTAAAGTGCATACCCTCGGCACACTGCGCATGAGTGGTATGCTAATTCAAATGTTAAGTTTTCTAGAGCCAAGTCGCAATTTATATTTTACGATGTCTTACACAGATCAGCTATGTGGTAACCTTGCTTGCATTATTCATTCTTGGTTACGTCACGTGCATAGTCACTTCCTGTGCATATATAATTAAGTGTAT